TTTTCTAAAATGTCTCTAAAAAACTAGACTATCAAAACCACCAAACTTTATAATCAATACAAATTAACCAAATTGCCAAATGACCTTTCTACGTATGAAGAATGAAAAGTTTCCGTAGCGGCATTCATAATTACTTCTCAAATATCAATAGAGATTGATTCCTTCTAGACTTACATTAAAATAAAATTTGCAAATCCACGTAAAAAAATAATTTTGCAACATAATATAATGTGATCACCTCTAATATTGATATTGCAATGTATTTAATCAATATTTTTCTAGTGTTGACGATAATACTTATAGTATTTCTTTCAATATAAATCGAAGTTGTTGCATTTCTCTCTGTGAGGTTGAAATAACGTTATTAAATGTTTATGATGCCTAAAAATAGACTCAAGCCGTCCATTTCAGCTGGTCGCGATAATATTCCACAAATAATTTATAAAAAATGTGCAGACTCTCCGAGTCTTCCTCTATTTCTAATTTCTATTTCTAATTTATAAGGATATTATGAAATCTGGCCTTAATCCCAAAATTTGGAAATTGTTTCATATAATTCCCATTCATAAATAATAAGCGCCTGTGATTCTTCTAATTATAGGCCAATTAGCCTAACATGCGTTGTTAGCAAGGTACTGGAAAGGTTGATTTGCAACAAATTATTTACTTATCTTGCCAATAATTTCATATCCACTTATCAGCATGGCTTTTGTGCGAAAAAATCTACTTCTTAACAAATATTAGCGAATCTTTTCGATTGGTCAGCATCAATTGATAATAGAATAGCTGCGTAGATGCTTCGAAATTTGAAATTAAACATTACAGGTCCGATTTGTATTTCTTAATAAAATTTCTGGCCCAGCAGGAAAATTATTGGGCTCCTTTTATTCTGGAACCACTTTCTGGAAGCGAGAAACACACCAGGAATGGAACTAGATAAAGGAAATAGTGAATTGTTGACCAAACATATTGCCTTTAATTATTATAATTAACACTGCAGTATTTGATATAAAAGGGAAAGTCAAATACCACAAATACTGGATAATTTAGGCATCTACCGTTATCTAAAAGACTTTTTGCAAAAAACTGCAATCTTTTTCTGTAAAGAACTGGATTATTGGATCGTCACGACAAGCTACGATGTAGCAACTTCTAAAATGTTCACCATTGCTGTTTAGGTTCGTTTTACTCTAATGGACCATGCAAACTTTGCTAGGGATTTATTTGGCGATAGAAATATAGGTAAATTGCCAGCACCAATATTTTTGCAAGACAGGTTCACTCCTTCATGGCAAAGAACATCCGAAATGTGAACAGTATTCTAATGTCCAAAGATATTGAGAGATATATGAAAAATGAGTCTACCTGTCGACATTTTAATGGTTTAATGAAATGAATGGACGAGTGGAACTGGCTTGGATTCTTTGACAAAAATTTTTGATAATTTTAAGATTGATCTTCAATGCAATCACATAGGTCGACAATAGCCTGTGCGAGCTTCGTTTGTTACCTAAGCGTCAGTCATTAGCACCCATGCATTCTTGGTTCATTTCGCATCTATGGTTTATTATCTCTGCCTCATTCAGTGGTCACCTATGTATATATATATATATATATATAGATTTTATCACAGATTTTAATAAAACTTCGAACAATATAAAGCAGAAAGAAAAAATTAATTTTGCTTATCACCACTTTTTTTATTTTCTCATAAAACAAAAGTATTGTCGTTGGTCAGTGCGCAGTGAACGCTTTAAAATTTTCTCCATAAATTTTTATCAGCAATTTGTTTTACAATATTTTTATCAAACAGTGGTTTGGAATAAACAAAAACAAAAAATTTCGCATTTTCTCGCGTTCTAACTTGTTATTTTATTTTTGCAATTTTGCTCGCAAATCTTTCTTCTTTCGACATTGTAATCCGGGCATTTTCTGGATTTCCAACTATGAATCGTTTCAGGTTATTAGATTTCGTTGTTGCTTCTCGTGCATTATCAGCAACGATCTATTAAATGAATTTAAGAGATTTTTTATTTTACCATTAAATCACTTGTCTCCTTTGTCTAATTGAAGAATTCCTTTTTTTTGCATTTACTGCATTTTGCATTTTTCTCATAAACAAGAAATTAAATTTTTTGGAACTTTGCATTGTTGAAAGCGATACTCGTTTCTTTCTTTTCGAAATTTTGTTTTAGTGGTTTCGATTCACTTTTTTTTGAACACTGTAAAATATTAAATTTGAGTGGTAAGCATTGATTTCTGGTTTCAGGTTTGTTCGTTTCGGTTGATAATATTATCACCTGAGAGTCACCAAAAAGTAGTTATATGAAAAATGAGTTGCACCACAACACCACTCGAATTTTTTAATGACTAATTTATTCGCACTTACGTCCGAGCCGTGTCTGAGTGCTAATCTTAGTGAAGCATGCACGACTTGGCCATTGTCCTTTTATGATCATTAAATAATTTCTTTCGAAAAAAAATCTGATCTTTCAGTTATTTAAATTTAAAAATAATTTACAAACAGTTTCATGAATTATGATTAAAATTTCTAAAATCATAAAATCGAAAAAAATTATATGTTAGGTTTCTCAGCCGCCGCACACTAATTTTTCAGCGCCGCTTTCCATGTTCTCCGGTAATTTCGATTATTTGCTTTTCGATTTTTTCCTATAGTTTTAACTAAATTTTTACGGAATAAATTTTTTAACTATGAAAATTAATTGCAGTTTTTCAGTTGTTAATAACTGTGCTTTCTTGGTATATTTATAAATTTATTTTTTTTTAAAGTTTGATTTTTTAGTTTTCTTTAATCAATCAAGAATCGGAATAAAGTGTGAGTAGCACTTCTTTTGTATTTTACGTCGTTTATTTCCATTTATCCTCATTTATTGTTGTTAATGTAAGCAAATGACGCTTGTTGCCGTGCTTGGTTGCTTTTTTTCGAATAAATATTGTTTGCGAAATTTTGCCGTTCTTTTTTTTGAGTTTGTTAATTACTAGCGAAATTTCTAAATTGGCTGGTTGCGAAGAATCGCAAGCGTCACGAACTTACGTTAAGATTGATATTAGGAACTTGACGTTAGTGCTTAGAATATGCCGCAGGCATCGCACACCATAAAATAGTAGTTTATTCCGATAAGTGCCTAATGAAAGTAAAAGCAGTGGCTATCAATCAGTACGTAATAATGAATAACGGCATAAAATAGAGAGCAATAATTTATGAGCAGTTATGAGCAGTCACATAAAATAATAAAAAGACGTAAGTAATAAATTGGTACCCGACAGTGTAAATAAGCACGCAAACCATTTGTCCCCAGTAAATCATAAGAAACACAAGTACGACCTCACTACAATAGGTTGCACAGAGATACGCCATATTTGCACAGAGATATATTAGATATGGTTGGACTCAGAATTTAGGCGGTGAATATTTTTCTGAATTCTCCTCGGTTTTAATTTCGTATGTCCTTTTTTTAAAAAATAAATATGAAACTTGGTGTGCTACTGCTCTTCTCTTCTCAACATACTTTTTCGACAGTTTTTTTCTTCATTCATTTTGCATTTATATTTAATCAAATTAATTGAGGTGATACTGTGTCGAAAAAATTTGTCTGGTCTGGTGATACAAGGCAGAGGAACCAAATTAAAAATGGTGTACCCAGAAAAAAAAATAAGGGCACCGTATTCAAATAGTTAATTGGAGGTAAAGGTCGGCATGCGTCGATAATCGAAATTTAACTGCCATAGAATTTGAAAATGAAATTTGGATGGATGCTGGAGGCCTATCTATATTCCAACCTACTGTAAAATTTCTTCTTCTTCTTCTAATAGCTCTCACCATTACTGGTTAGACTGGCTCCACTGGCTATAAGCACAAGACGTCTCCAAGCCGCCCCGCCATCGCTAGTAGTAACAGAAGCCAAATCTACTGTAAAATAATATTGATTTTAGTTATTGGAAGACAACTTATAATGCTTGCCACAGGAGAAGATATTTAATTTTTTTTTTCATTTCCATAGATTCATTTGAAAATTCATTTCCATAGATTATTCATACAAGGCCAGTCAAGACCTGGACTGACAAAGTTAAGAAAAATTTTGAACATACATATAGACCAGTGATATAGGGACTTGGACTGTGGAAAAAGGAATGGCTTCTATTACTGTTAGCGATGGCATCGAAGCGAACAGCTTGGAGACGTCTTAGCTAAGCGGAGCGAGCATGACCAAGAATAAATACCTAAATAAACTGGTTTCAAGTGGCCTTTTGTATTTTGGTTTTTTTAAATTTAAAATGCCTATTTTTGTAAAGTGCATTCTGTTTGATTATTAAAAAAAAATAATTTCCACATTTCTGGTCAGGTTGCTTTGCCAACTATCAAGAAGTCATTTAGTGATAAAAATATAAATGAGTCGGCAGATATCATCTAATTCATTTCTAATCAGTTTGATTATCGATAGAATTTATTGAGAAATTCAGATTGGTATTTTTGATTTTTTTTTCGAATTTTTGTTCAAAACAGTTTAATTTTTTCTACTGGAATTTTTCAAAAACTATTTTTGTTTTTTAAAATTAAATTGTGTTTATTGTTATTCACTTTATCAAAATTTGTTTATTAACGTTTGAATTTGTATTGAAATTTTATTTATTTACTTATATTTTGCAGCATTCAACTGATAAAATTGTAAATGGATGAGGAAAAGATTACTATAAAGTAAATTATTTATTTTTAGTTCATGAATTATTTGTGAGTTATTTAAATTATATTTTTTCATCCAAATTTCTTTTTTATTTTTATAATAAGTAGCGTTTAAACTTATCGTTTAAACTTATAGTTAACGATTAGTTCTGGTCACTTGTTTCATATATTTTTTTTGATCTAAGCGAGCCATTGGTTCCATTTATGTACAAAATATACATACTCCTTGGTGAAAAAGTATCACTCTTCATAAAATATAATAGAATTTGGAATTAGTTGTCTCAAAAAAGGAAATTAGATGATAAAATTACTTAAATTATCAAGTGGATGTTTCAGTCCACGATCCTATGAGGAAATCGTACATGTTGCCCATCATATATTCAACATGGTAAAACGCAAGAAAAATCCAGAAATTGGCATTATCTGTGGTTCGGGTCTTGGAGATATTCCATCAGTATTTGAAGACACTGAAACTGTGCCTTATTCCAAAATCCCCGGATTTCCTAATACTACAGGTGAATTTAAAAGCAGTAGTTGGTTTTAATATAATAAAATCTAGTTTAATACTGACTTAAAAGAATTTACATTGCAGTGGCTGGACATAAGAACAACTTAATTTTCGGCACTCTTTCTGGAAAAGAAGTGGTTTGCCTTCAAGGAAGATTTCATCCATATGAACACAACATGAATTTGGCTTTGGTATATTAATCCTTTACAAATTATGTGAGGAATCCTTAGGTTTAGGTTTTCTCTTGGTTTTTTTTGTTTTAAATGGTATTTTCTTTCGCTTCCGGTTGCTGAAATAAATGAATTACAGAACCGGAGAAGAACTCTATGATGATGTTTGAATATCGGACATTTTTCTTTCCCAGAAAAATTTTAAAAAACATCTGCGAAATATAATAATAAACGTGAATTTCATTGTTCACTGTCTGCACCACTCACCATTATCATCATGAATTTTGCACAAACCACTTATCAATTTTTTGAACACATTAATAAATTAATAAAACTTAAATGTTTTAGTGTGCATTACCAGTAAGAATAATGCATGAACTTGGCATCAAAATTCTCATTATCTCAAATGCTGCTGGTGGAATAAATGAAAACTTCGAACGGGGTGATCTTATGCTGATCAAGGATCAACTATTTCTTCCTGGATTGGCTGGTTTTTCTCCACTAGTTGGACTTAACGGACCTGAATGGGGGCCTAAATTTGTATCTCTTCATGATATGTATAATAAAGACCTCAGGTATGGTTCTTTTTTCTTCCAAAAATTTTTACAAATACATCTTCCTTTATTCATTCCTCTCACCTCGCTTGATTCCCCGGTGCACTTTTCAAAATTCTCATAGTAAAGGTATCTCATAGGTGTCCAACAACACATCAATAAAATCGTAACATATCCCATCATCGGAGAATTTGACTGCAATAGATAAAGTGTTAGAACACTAATTTTTTTACTTTTGGAATCTTCCAGACTTTCCGTTTTATTTTATCGAATTCTTTGCAATGTAATGCAATCATAATTCGATTTTTTCAGTAAAAAACAGATTTTTTTGAAATGTGCAGTTTAGGAAATCAAAGATCGCAGGTCGAAAAAAAATTGAGAATCGTTGCTTCAGTTGTATTCTCCTATCATTGCTCCCTTAAATATCCGTTAAAGTCTTCATAAACCCAGCTAAATTCTATTGAAATCGTCTTAAGGATAGTTGAGGCACTTGCATCGGAACTTTCTTAAACTCATAGTTTTTTCGTCATTTGCAAAGATCGTCAGTTAATCTGAGCTGTGCTTCCATAGAATTTGTTTATGGCTGTGTCCAAGAATTAATTTCAGAATTTAATTTTCCAAATAACTGATTCCTGACTGACTCTGATCGTATTTTATTCTTGTCTTCTTTTTCTGCTCATTATGAACAAGCTTTTTTCTTTTATAAGTAGCGAATAACCATTTGTTTAAAGGGTTTCCTCCAGACAAATTTGGATTTTTTTTCTAGAAAACTCGCACTGGATATTGCTAAGAAAATGGGAATAAGAATGCATGAAGGAACATATGCAATGTGTGCTGGTCCTCAGTATGAATCAGGTGCTGAAATAAAATTCCTCAAGACATGCGGAGTGGATGCAATGGGTTCGTTAACCTTTCATTTTTTTTGTAAACGAAATATTTTTCCATATCAAAATCATATTTTAAGGCATGTCAACTTGTCATGAAGCTGTCGTGGCGAAACAATGTGGCATAAAAATACTTGGAGTGTCACTTATAACGAATATGTTAGTACCATATTTTTACTGAAAAAAGGAAAAGACGACTGATAAATTAAAAGCAGCATCTATTCGATTCTTACTGCCCCATGAGAGGAAGTAAATCTTTCATTAAGAAATGAAATCGGGAATGGATGAGGGAGATTCTACCTCTCCCCGAAATGATTCAGATAAATGAATTTGCTTAAAGATTGTTTGTAGAGTAAATTTAGAATTTAGTCGAAGGCTACAACAAAACAAATCAAAATAATTATGGAATAATTTTGAATTATAACTGGTAATTGTTTGCGGTACAATAATCTATTTAATACTTATATCTATTCAAACCACATTGGTATTTTAAGATTAAAAAATTGCAGAAATCACGGAGATGCAAACCCCTCACACGAAGAGGTTCTTGAGTCTGCAAAGACTGCAAATGAACGCATGTGTAAACTCATCCAAGATTTTGTATCTATTGTTTAAAATTCAAGTACATAGCAATGATGATCTTAATATTTGATCTGGTATATTAGGTGCTTTTTGATTCTAGTATATAATCTAGTTCGTCCTTTGAATATCGTCATATTTTTATTATAATTTAACCGTGTAATTTCGTAGCCAAACAGCCCTATGTTTATAATTCTATAAAACCGGTTTGAGAACCGACCGTATCATCAAAAAAGAAAATTAAAAATAATTATAATCATTTATGTGAAGAACGCATCATTTTTTCCCATATTAGAAAGATTTATCTATTTCATCTAAAGTACTCTAGGGCGCCAGTGCCAAGAAAACACTGGAAATGGGTTGAATCGGTTGGCTGTTGGAGCATTACTATAAATGGTTCGAAATGAAATTAAAATTCGCAATAATATTACCCCAAAATTCTATTTTTATAGGCCTTATTCTTTCTAATTCTTCAATTCTTTTCACAAAAATTGAAATTAAGTATGGTCGGCCATAGAACTTAATCTGTACCCCTATGCTTCTAACTTTACTCTCTAACATAGAGACTTCGTTAATCGGTAAATCAATGGATTCGGAAGTGGTACTTGATTTTAGAGGCGAAAGAAGCATTTGTTTAATACAAATTCGATCTTAGATTATTCGACATGAATATTCCATAAATCAGAAATAGTGAAACCTGGTTTTAATTGTTCAATGGCTATTCCAAGTTCCTCGGAATAAACAGGTGGCCGCACTCCTTCGCTGATCAATCCATCCGAAAAATATGCCTGTAAAAATAAAAATAAAATGATGGTGGTAAATTGATATTTAAAACTTTCCTACGAATGTGAAGCCGAATATCTACGCTAAAACAATCGAAAAGCATCTCACAGCAAATGCGTCCGAGCGAAGAGGTCGTTCGTCGAGTTCAATATCTTCGTCGATTAATTTTAGTGTTTCTCCAATAGCTTTGGGTGTCCCCTTGAAATTCGCAAATATTTGAAAATGCTTTTTGCAAAATTTTATTTAAAAGAAAAAGCTTCTATTTGGAAAAGCGACTGTTTGACTTAAATAACATTATTGACCTTCATTTATATTTCAACCTAAGATATTCCAGAAGAAGTAACGGAAAGTCATCCAGGCGACCGTTTGCTGATTGATATCCAATATTAATAATAAGGGTGAAAAAGCGATTACTGGACGTTCTCGACCGTATTGTACGCCAAATATTGGTTTTGAGATGAATGCATTTTGCAAAACTTGAATTGATTTGCATATCTGTTGTAATTTATCTTTAGGGTCAACACGGAAACCCAGAACATACTCGCCACTCTACAATAATGCATATAAATAGAAAGCAACAATAATCTTAAATTTGTTTTGATTTAAAAAATCTAATGCCAAATTGCCATCGCCACGAGTCCCTTAACTACTCCTTGCTTTTCGCAAAAGCAAAAAAATTCAGGTGATGCTGAAAACTCGACTCGAATTAACTCTCTAGCAAAATTCCTCATCGAATCAATAGCCAATGTCGACAGAGGTGATAAGAATTAACAAATTAATTAATTAATTACTTAACACTCAGGGCAAATTGTAATCTCGACCTATAGTTGAAATTTGATCGCTATAAATTAAGACGCCACTTAGTACATTTCTTACTTCGAGGGACGGTAATGGGGGTAAATGCTGTTTCTGCTGACAAGTATACATTGAATTCCTGTCGGTTGACAGGAATTCTATTTAGGAAAGATAGAATGGAGGCTGCCATAGGCCTACCTGTGTTTACCATTAAAAGAAGTTTCATGCATTTATGAAAGGACAATACTTACTGTAACTGAAGTTTCAAATACAAGAGCGACTCCAAATTTTGAATCACGAATTCGACAACACTGCAAATGGAGATAAGGTATGCTGACATTGTACATAGGATTGACCAAGGAGAACCACACAATTCGAATGTTTGTCAGAATTAACACACCAAGAGTGCCCTTCAACCATAAAGTTATGAAAAGAAAAAATTGAAAATCCAGATAGAATAAGAATTTAACAAATAATCGGACCACATAATTTCATTATCTAAAAATGCCAAAAAAAGAATTGAATGTGTGTATCAATTTACTTGATCTCCACTAAGATTCCATATTCCCTCAAAGCGATCGCACTGCTGTTCTTGAGGCAAAATACGCAGCTGACCATCTTCGTTGATCAAAGCTCCACGCATCCTTAACTCACGGAACATTTTCGATGTCTCATAAGCTCGATGTACAGAGATGACAGATGTAAATAATTTGGTCTAAAATCATCGTACAACAGTAGAGTGCATTGTAAAGAATGATAAAACTTTGACAGGCAGAATAAACCCTGGTCAATCGCGAGAAATAAATACTAATAACCTGTGACGGACTAATACTAGTAAAAATAAATTCGAAACGAGTATTAGCATTTCGTGCCATTATATATAATGATTCAGCACGTCCACGAATTTTTGACTCAGCTATTCTCGTTGTAACACCATTTATACAATTGTACCTACAAGACTTTATATCTTAAACGGTTAATTCTTGTTCATATCAGTTTTAGATTCAACATACTCGAATTTATGTAATATAAGTATAACAATACAAACCCAATGCTCAAATTGATACGAGGCATTTGTACAGCGTGCCAAATGATTCGTAGATTTGTTATACGAAAAATACCTTTATCACCACTATTTCCTTTTGTATCCTCAACGCCATCGATTCGATCAATTATATGTTCACCATGAATTAATCTTAGATGGCTGAAATATGAAAATGATAAAAATCCAAAAAAAAGCCAAAAATCATACCGTGGATCGAGATCAAACCGAATTTCACGGTGTTGCCAAATGATATCAGCTATTGCTTCTCGTCTTCTTGAATTCATTTTTTTCTGTTGTAATCTGGAAAATAATGGTTAATGTAATCAAAATTCCCAGATTTCTGATTTTACAATGCGAAAAATTAAAAAATACAATAATATTCACGATTAGCCCGAGACCAACCAAATAGGCAATATATGTTAGATTTGTTACTGCTTATCATTTTCTTTGCCTTATCACTTCAATAAAAGAACTGGACATCTAGTCTGGACATCCTGCTAAATGTTGACATTACAAATATTTTACGTATACTTAAAAAGAGACTTAAAACCTTAAATAATGCAACTTGCTAAATCAAAAATGATGCATACCACTGGATGAAATGGATGCCTAATATCACCTTAAGTATTTTTCTAATCAACTATCAATTACAAAATTAAATTTTTGCTTCTCTCTTTCAGCATAGATTTATGGTAGTAAGAGAGAATAAAGTACGCCCTAACCAAGCTGGGTTCAGACCTGGACGTGATTGTGCTGACCAGAATATTCATGCTAAAACTAAAAAGGGCACTGGAACACCGCTTTAAACACCGCAACTCAACGTCACATATTCTATCGATTTTGCAGCTGCCTTCGATTCAATTGATAGAATCAATTGAAGGCTTTGGCTTCGAAGAATGGTGGAACTCGATGGTGTCCTAGAGATCATTCAACTCATAAAGGCTTTTATTGGCGTATGTCTGTGTATATAGGGAATTGACAGACTCCTTCGAAATAAAAGCTAGAGTCCGTCAAGGTAGCGTCCTTTCCCTTACAAAATTCATTATGCGATAGACTGGACGACAGACACCACTTGTCGACCCTCAAGAGATGCCCAAATCAGTCCAGAGCGTCGTATCACAGATCTTGAATACGCTGATGATGTAGTCCTTTTTACTGACAGTTATGACTATGACGAAATATAAGTAACGCTAAATAACGTGTCAGCAGCTGCAGCGAGAATCAGACTCAGGTTCAATGTAAATAAAACGAAAGTATTTCGTCTTATATACAAGATGCTAATAAAATACCTATTTTTATTTTTCACTGCCGGTTAAGGAAATACTCGATTTTAAACATCTTGGATCCACTCTAATCCCAAATAGCCAACAGAAAGACCAAATTACAGTCCGGATAATGGCACTTAGAAATGCTTTCTTCCGATTGATGAAATTTTTATGGACTTCTCGCGAAATCACTATAAAAACGAAAGCCCGCGTCTATGTAGTAGAAGTTCGTTCGATCTTGCTATATGCCTGCAAAGCATAACCAATGAGAGTGGAGGATATTAAAAAAACCTTTAACCACCCGTCTAAAACACATCTTACGGATCTGCCAAGCGGATAAAATCGCACATGATTGCATCCAGTATCATCACAGAACACCGTCTTCGCTGGTTAGGGCACATTTTTCGTTGTTCATCATAAGAGTTGACATTTATTTGTTTCTTGCTAAATCTCGTGATAGATGGTGCCAAAAGCGAGGTGGTCCAACCAGGACCTGGACCGACCTGACATAATCAGAAAAAATTTTGAACGTATAGGCAGACCAACGATATATGGACTTAGACGATGCAAAAAAGGAATGGCTTCCATTATTGCCGACGATGGTGCCAAACTGCGCCACTTGAAAAAGCCTTACCCTTGTAGCGTGTGAGCCAGCCTAAATACTAATGGTGAAAGCTGTTAATTAGAATAAAGCAACCAAAAAAAAAATATTCCAAAAAATACTTCACCATTCGCAAAAGACAAGTCCTAATTTATAACTAAACTTGAACGAACTTTCTTGTGAGCCTTCGTGCCATATTCCCTTATATATAAATTGCAAAGTATCAACGTTTTATTAAGTTGCTATGGTGATAACACAAAGAATTTTAAGAATTTTTATCGATACGTTTAATAAATAAAAAATACTTAAATTAAGCAATAAAATGAAATAAATTAAATACAAGTACATGAAAGACGTCCCATATATACTCCAAAAAACAGTTTATTCAAAACAGATGAATCCTTTAAAATATCCCAATGTAAATAAAAGATTTTAGTAGTACTGATTGCTTTGGTGGACGGTAAGAAAATTTGATCTAAGCCCCTAAACAGAAGGAAAATCTACCAACAAAGTGAAATCTCGGTACCACTATCGACCCGCTTTTATCTCCATTTATGAGTGGCTTTCTGACAAATAAGCAAAATAAATGCCTCATTTTAAATTTTTAGTTGAGCCAACCAAAGCAGAAGTATTAAAAAAAAGCATATCATATCACCGAAAAATGATTTTAGAAAAGAATTATTCAATTTAGCATTCAAAAATTAAGATGCAAATATACATTAAAATTAATATCCAAAATGCATTGTAGGAAGGTGGGTGCTACTCCCGAAGAGTAGTCTTCCAAGAATCTGAATGATGCTGGCGACTCATATATGCTTCTCTCGCATTCTATGTAAGTGATTCACTGCAAAATTCGTTTAGTCCGAAAATTCGTTTAGTCCGACAAGCCGTAGCCCAAACAGAAATATATGAATATTCCCAGAAAAAGAAAACATTTTATATAATATAAAATAAATTAAATTTGATGAATTAGATGAAAAATTATACAAAGATTGATGAATAAAATAAAACAAGAATTTCTCTTATTAAGAGAAATAAAAATTCCACTTAAAGGCACAATTTTAAGCGAATAACATAGAATGAATTAAAGCGGAATGAAAATGGAATGATTGTAAGAAACCAAAATTAAAAAAATTAAAAGAATGAATTTTTTACTCATGGGAAATTTCTCTTTAATCTTTTACTAATATCCCAATATTCAAAATATAACTGATAAAACATAGAATGAATTAAACAAATAAAATTGGAGTATTGGTGTTAGAATCGCAATTATTTTCAACGGATGCAATCAACACGATTTCTTTGAACTCACTTCTGCATCGCCCTGATATAATTTTTTTGCCATCTAAACGTCTCAAGTGATCAACGAAGCCAGCCAAAAATGATGAAAAAGTGGTAATATATGCAGCGAATTCCGCTAAAATTGGCCAAATCGGCAAAAAATAACTCGAATTCATGATAAATAAATTAATTGGGATGGGGGATAATCTGGTTGAAAAAAATGAGCCAGAAATTTAAAAATTAAATAAAAATTAAAAAAAATTAATGCCTGTATTAAATAAATATAGTAAACAAAATATTTAATATACTAAAATATACTAAATGAAATATTCAGATGCTAAAATTAGGCGAAAAAAATAAGAGAACTATATGATTATATAAACGGATTTAACTATCGATCCCTTGCGCATATGTTCCAGAAGGTGGACGAAATTCTTTCGGAATGAAATGCATTTGAAATGGCGAGAAGGAATATAAGGGTTTACCGATGTTTTTACGGCAGTTTTCGCGTCGAACTCCATCCCGTCTGAGGCAAACTATCATTTCTCCCATCTGCATAAATTATCTCTATTATTTGCACCAAAATTAGAAATTTTATATTCCATGTACTTTCTCTAAATTTCTGTGTCGAATAAATGACGAATCTCTTCAAACCATAAATTTATAGCATATAATGAAATGCATTCGGTTCATTTTAGAAAGAATAAATGAACCTGATCTCCACTAACACCACAATTTTCACGTATTATACGTCCTTCTTCGAGAGTTAATGCCATTGACGTTCGATCCTTTCCGCTTTTACAACATAAAATTGGTATCCCATTTAATGCAAAATTGGCGATCATCGCTAAACGAAATATAACCATGTTTTTGTTTGATGGTGACACAGATATCTGGAAAATAGATAAATAGGTAAATAATATAAAAAAATATGTTGAATACTAATACTCTCATAACTTTTTAATAACTACAAACTATACTCTTCTTAATTTTTATCTCTGAATATTTTTTGTGCAATTGTTTTAACCATAATTTAAATCACAGTTATTTAATGAAGATATAGGATAGAATAACTTATTGGGTTATTGCTCAATTGGGAGCGCCGATGCTGAGGTTCGATTCCCTGTAGTAAACCTGTACAAAAATTAGGGTGATGCTGGTGATTCACCTGTATTTCTATCGCCAAGAGACTTCCCGACATACTGCCCAATGCGACAAGCCAGTGGAGCGAGTTTAACTAGTAATGGTGAGGACTCTTAAAAAGAAAAAAAAATGAAGATACAGAGTATGATGGATCAACTCTGTGCTATTTCGCCTAACAACAAGTAAGGTTCGATTTTTTGTGCTTGACAGGAAAAAATAAAATCAAGCTCAATTGTGTCAAAATTTAATTTTTTAAATTATTTTTTAAGTAAAAAAAATTATTTAAATTATACCAAAATTCACCGCTAAATTAAGTTCAGCAATAAGATTCTTAACCGACTGAGATGAAGAAGAATTACAATCGGCGTATGCTTGCAATGCTCTACCAGCAATTATATTAATAGTTTCTTCTAACGAACAATCTCCAGCTATAGACTGAGCAAATGTTGCTTCATGGTTAATTCCCAAATTCCAAAAAATACTACAAACTGTGAAAAGCTGTCCTGATTTCAAATCTTCCGGTAATGACTGAAAATAAATAAATTTATGAGATAAAAATTTAAAAATTTTTGCCATTAATTATTGGCTTTATTAATTTTTAAGTAATTAGCATTCAAGTAATAAACTTTCTACCTGATTTCAAAAGAAACCAAAGTGCCGATATAATAGAGAATTTCATTGAATTATTGCATATTAAATCTTTTAAACAACATAAAAGAGGACGAAACCTGAAAAATATTCTGAGGAAGAGGTAGATGAACAATTATTTTCGATCGATCGCCACTCACAGTAGGAATACATGTTGAATTTATTGAAGAACTACTTAAAACCAGCTTAAATCTAACTCGATCCTGGAAGGATGCCCAACATTCACGAGCATCCTCCATCATGCCACGCTCGTCACCGTAACATGACAAAAAGGAAAATATCTAAAATTTTAAGATTTCTGGATTTTATGAAGATATTATATATATAACAATATACTATATAAGTACATAAAGCGATTATTAACTAATTATTAATTTTATTAATCTTGCCATGCTTCATTACATTTGTTTTTTTATTTTTTTTTAATTTTAAATTTATTTTTATAAGACTAATTTGAGAAAATGTATACACTATTTCATGGATTTTCATTAAACTCATTCATGCTTTTCCCACTGCAAAATCAAAACTTACAGTAATTAATGGAGGATTAACATTCCATTCTGCAATATTATTTTCAATGGCCGACAACAAAGCTGTAGAAACAATGGTAATCGCTTGAGATAAAACCAGATCACTTCTAAGCTGAATATTAAAAAAAAACTGACAATCTGAGGATCGTTTAAGTGCCAGAATAAGACCTAAAAAAATTTTTTGATATTCTGATATATCAAAATTGAAAAGATAAACATGTTGGTGCCACTCACAGAATTCGAACCCACGAATTAAGCCTTGATTTATAAATTCAATTTCATTAAATTCAAATTTAATAAAATTGACAAGAAATTTTTAAAAATCATTTTGAAATAAAACCTAAGAATTGAGCATTCTGAATATTATCAATTATCTGCAATAATATGTCGAGACATGAATTCAGAGTTTGTTTCGTATTCTTCTCATAATCCTTCCATGTATCCTTAAAGCTCCATTCGTTTTTTTCATGAACTAATTTATACTAAAATATTTCACTTTTCTAAACATGAACAATATATTCAACAAGAAAGTGGATTTTTGGAACTTATTACAGATTAATAAAGATAACATTGGGAGTGAAGCAGTATATCGAATTGTAAAATTACCTCATTATCTCGAGCTGAACAAAGAACGGCCATTTTTGTATTTAAGCTAATAATAGTTGCTTCCAAATTATCCAACTGGCTATCTAGGCCATCTACCATAGTCCGATTTATTTTTCCGCAGTGATGGTCGGAAAGTTGATTCCATTCACGAAAAAAGTCAATAAGCCGCACAACATTTGGAAAGGATTCTATCAGATCAACTAGATTCTCTTTTAGCTGCAACGCTTTTATAACTATACTTTTAAATAAGGTTTTAAAAAATTGTGTCGTAAATATAGGTAAACAAACGAAGCAGGATTTTTAGATATCCAAGAATATTTTTAATATCTAGGGAAATACCTGTTTTATTTCGGCAAGTAGGCATAAGCCTACTTTTTCTGTACTCTTAAGTTCCGTAAAATTCCAGTCCATTTCAGCTTGTTGACTTAATTCGCCTATCACACTTTTCGCAGCTTGCAAAGAATTTCTTCTATGAAAAAAGCGAGAATCAAGCATATGATCAATGCATACCGGATCATTAATTGAAGAATGCAGATCTACCCGCAAGCGTGACAAACCACCATGCTGAAAATAGAAATTTATGCAGCAGAAAGTGAAATGCCCAAATTTATAGCGAAAAAAAAAATTAACCATAAAACGCAGTGGAATAGCACAAACTGCTCCACAAGTCAAATAATCATGCGTTATTTTTTCAACCACAAATTGCTGCAGATGGAGATTAGTTGGAACACTAGCAAAAGCAACACGAAATTTTTCAGATGATGAACGAAATGATGGACCACTATAAGATTCGATAAATTCCAGCGAATTGATATATGTCTCTTGATTTGCAGAGATATGCCTTAATGATAAAATTTTGCGCAATAATTTAAATAAAAATTTAATGGCTATAAATGGGTTTTTGGTATGATTTTATTTCAAACTTTTTTAAAATTGAAATTTTTTGATATTCTCTTACATTTACTCATAAACTTCATCAAAATTCATAAGTGCTTCCTTAAAAACGTTAAAACTTCGCATTTTCTCAACGCCCTGCCAAATACCATTATTTTCTCATAATCCATCAGCAACTATCGACTTCTTGAAATTGTTTATATTATCAACCTCCTCCGACCAGCTGAGGTCTCTTAAGAACTTGGCCTTTATACTCTATTAAAATTTCATCAAACTCTCTTATTTTAAGAGCATCAACAAATCAGAAATCGCATGATGGAGGCTGAATGGAGATTGAAGAAGTACAACAGGAATCGAAAGAACAAAGGGTGAAAGCACTGAATAGGCCGCAGAAGTCTGAAGTCCTTTGAGATAATCTCAAGAGGCATGCGTGGTTATCAGGACGATTCTATTCGCCAGTAGAAGAGACCTTTTTATTAATCCGTTATCTTCTAATATATTACCAAACTTGACTATTCTACCTGTTAGTTTTTGAAAGGAATAAACCTGTTTTTAAAAAATCCGGGTGACCTGGCGACCTATGCTTCTATCACCAAGTGTCTCCTTATAAAAACCTCATTATATTCTCCTCATGCTTTATCACAATCTCTTCTCTCGCTTAAGTTATTACAACAAAATTCAAAAATTTTCAACCCAAAAATTCTTTTAAGCCCTTTGAAATTTGCTATATTCCCTTAAAATCTAAATCTCGTTATTCTTTAGGCACTCTCCCAAGAAAAACTCTAGTCTCTAAGGAATTTCAAGTTGTAATCCACAATATTCCTTCTCTGTTATAACTGCATAACATCACCAAAACCATATTACTAGGCTGATAAACGAGAATAATAAATTGATAATATTACATATTCCCAGTAAAACGTTAATAATCAAATCAGCAAAAAAAGCACGCAAAGTTTCATAAATATATCGCTAACCGTAAGCAATTGTGAGCAGCTTCCAAATATCCATTGGGTACAACCCACAAACGATTTTCAATAAATTCTTTTAATTCATTTGACCACTTCAAAAATAGTTTTAACAACTGTTGAGGAAGGATAAGACTCAGCTTACTTTCCCACATTATTTCTTCACATCTGATTTTTCTTGAATGAAGACTCATGGGCTAAAATTTGCAAGCAAATAAATAAAGGGCGAATATTCATTAATCTCAACTTAGTCTTAAGTTTTAAGAAGGAATTTAATAAAGAGAAAGACATTAATGTCAAGGCACTAGCTAAAGAGGCAATCAATTCATAAAATGGTTTTCTTTTTTTAACTTTAACACCAGCGTTATTGCTCTACGTGATTTAAGGAATAATGAAATTCAGATGCGACAATTGGCCGTGTGAGATGAAAATATTTCAGTTTTTTATACAATTTAATCATCAATACGCCGGTGTGCCGGTTGAAGGAGAAATTTCTAGTGAAATATTAAATCACTTCTATAAAAGATGATGTTGTTAGCTACTTCGGAAAGCGACAAACATTTGGTTTCTTTCTCTTGATAGAAATAAACATATTAAAAGCTCGAGTGGTGCCGAATTCACCTTTTGTAATTCTATTCTTAAGTGAATTTCGAGCCAAAGAGTCATATTTTCATAATTTATAAAACCATTCTAACCAGTGCATCAAAAGAAGATAAATGATAACCTGAGATATAGAGAAATTATGAAGTTTTTTTATTGGTTCTGTCAAATAAAATAAACGAAAGCAATCCGTCGATGAAGGTGAAGGCATTAATGAAGATGGAACAGTGGAATTGAAATTATCGATTATTTCATCAAGTTCTGCTTGTGCAATGCGATGAGAACTTGTGGACAACTAAAAAACGGTAACTGACATCTCAAAATTCCTCACCAATAACAAAAATTTTCCAAATTCCCATCCGAAATTCTTTCCTTATCCAAAAATTCTAAAATTAAGAATTAAAAAAAGTTAAGAATTAACTCTAATCATCCATTTTTCCCTCTGTTTTGCGTTTCTCGCAAACATTTTTATGGAACCAGTTTTATACGAAAGTATGAAAGCATATTTTTCCTCAGCGACTTCAGCTGTTTCGACGTGAACGCGTTCCAATATGATAATAATTGGTTCGATAGGTGCATCACGGGATTCTATCGCTAATATATTAGCACGTATTTTTGCCTTAATTAAGGAATAAATTGTAAAATAAAATATATAATTGTAAAATATCAGATTACGAACTCATGGAATTTATAAGTTCTAGTTTCTAGCTTCTTTCCCCTGCTAATCGATAAAAAATGAAAACTGCAAATTTATTTATTCCCATTTACTTTAAAAAAAATGGAAGAAAAGTGAATTTTTAGAATGAAAAAAAATAACTAAATAAGATATATTTTTTCCGCAAAACCCTTCAATTTACCCTTAAATTTTTAAATTATAAGAATTTTAAAAAAATGCTTCAAAAAACAAGATTAAGAAGCAAGAAACTTGAATTTTTTGGATGGTAGAATCTACATTCTGAAGAAACATTTCGTCGAATAAATCATTCTCCATTTCCGTATTAAACATCCATTTAAATATATCAATCGCATTATCGTCTTCCATAATTCTTCTAATCTTTCCAGCTATTCAAATAAGAAAATTATTTTCTGCAGATTCATTTAAATTTTTACAATCCATTTTCTACATTTTTTTTTACCAGTGAAAAATGAATTATTCATCGAAAAAACGAAATATTTCCAAAATATTTTAGTATGAAAATAAAAAAACCACTAAAAAATTAAAAATTAGTCTTAAAAACGATAATTAAATATGATTTTTAACAGAAAATATTAAAAATAGAAATTTACGTAATTTGAGAAAATTATATAAATATAAATGTGAAATAAAAGTTTTTTAAAAAATTAAAAAATAAAAAATTTAAAAATTCGAAAGAAATTTAGAATTTTCCATCAATTTAAAAATTATAATTATAATTAAAATTAAGGTTTTTCTTGTGAATTGGCAATGAAATTATTAAAAAATTATTCAATTAAATTATTATTTATTGAAAATTTATTTGAAAAAAAATCAGAACGAACTTCTATGCTAAATAAATATAAAAAATTTGGACAATTTCTTTCAATTTTTACATTTCCTTAAAAACAATCGATAATTTATTAAAACAAACGACAAAATAAACATTGAAAAAATAAAAAACTGAAATTTCCAAAAAATGAAACGAAAAGAGAAATCGTTGTAAGGCCAAATATTGTGCTGTAATTTTATAACTTTATGCTTAGATTCGTTTAAATCCAGTTGGTCCTCCATTCGTATTTTGGAGTGCAAGTAGGTTGCAGAGCGGGTCACGAAGGTCGCGGCGTGCAGCGCTACATAGTTATTTAGAGGAGATGGCACGTAGAAAGGTCCGCGAAAAGTAAGGGGATTTCACGCACCGAGGAAAGTCGGCCTTGAGCTGTTCCACCCGGGTGCTAAGGCTTACAACTAGGTGTCTTTCTTTGTACATTTAGAACACTCTCTTCTCTTCTTGGTACTTCTCTTCTGCTCTATGGACAGTATAAGATTCCTTAAAAGATTCCTTTAGCAAATTTTTATACTTTGTGAATCCCATCTGGATCCGTGTTTGTGGTTCGCGAATCCTATCTGGATCCGGATTTTCCACAGTTATTTCCAAATAAGCTAAGGTCGGATGAATCACGATTTACTCCTACCATATTATCTAAGATTTGGCTTAATGACGAATGATTTACACAACCATCTCGCATTCCAACAGCGTAGATTTTGTGTATTGTTTATTTTTATCATATTAATAATAATATTAAACATATTTATTTTCGAACTTTTAAATTTTTAGTCGTCATTAATCGGTTTCTGGGCCTCTTTGTTGTCGTTGTGGTTGTTAATTAATTAAACCATATTTAAGGATATAGTTTCTATGTCGGATGCGCGAGGTTGATTGCCCATCATCAGCAAATATTTCAGCAGCGTGGCGGGCGAACCTTCTGCTCTCCAATTTTTTACATGATGCTTCGAGCTGTCAGAACCATTGTGGCAACTGGTATTTTGGAATCGAGTGGAATTGGAGTGTTCAGAAAAAACAGTCTTTAATACTGTAAAATAAAATTGATATTTACTTAGGCGAATCAGTGATCGAAATTAATTTATTTCCGCCGTCTTTCAAGGGTATATTTGGAAATTTTTCAAACCATTACCGTTAACGGCCAGTCCAGTTATTCAATTCCAGTCTTTTAAGGGAGAAGTCCACCGTTTCCCATTTCTTTGCCAAATCAAATTTTTTATATTTCCACTTATTAATTTCTTTCTTTTTTTTCCGTATTCGTGGCATATTTTCGAAATTGATCCTCGCAAAAGTGGCATTGTAATTAGAAATGCCGCGGACCATTATAAAGAGGAACTTGCTAATCTCACAAAACATGGCCAAAGCACTCAAAATCTCTCCCAGTATAATCCTAAGTCTCGATTATCTACCAAAGATTTGCGAGAAAGCTAATTTCCTTACTCTGATCGGCATTTTTCAGAGCATTGTTGACCAAGGTGAAGAGTTCCCAAATTGATCGCTCACCAATGAAATCGAAAGAACATAAAATAAAATCTGAGGATAAATACTCACAGCATATTCTCAAAGATTATCAGTATTGTTTATTAGACACTCAATAAGACATTTTAAACTCAAAGTTAGAAGCTGCTAAAACCATTCCTCATCAACGGCTAATCTTTCATTCCCAATCGATCAAGGATCCGTTTCTGAACAGTGAATAAAAATTTGTTCTGTGAGCGATATGTGAGCCGAAAAGGTGCTCTACTCATATTAATCTATCTTAATCTTAATCGAAATTATTGTAATTATTGCTATTATTATTTCAATCATTAATTCATTATACATTATACATGTGCAGCTATTATACTTACTATTACATTTATTATACTTATTATTTGTTTCCTCGAAACTTCTAAAAGTTTCCTTCGGGTCAAATAAATCTTTTTTTTTACAAAGTTTCATTTTTTTCTCAATTTTTTTAAAAATATTTATTTGCCTGTGATAGCAGTAAACCTGTCATTGGTATATCAAAAATCCAGATGGCTACTGAACTCACCGGTAACCCTATTCTCAAGTGACTGAATGGTTAAAGGGTCAGATCTCTTTGACTCGGCGCCCGCGTCCACCGCGTCCCCCGCGTCCTCCTGTGCACTTAGTATTTCCAGCTCGATGATACATGCAATGAATATACAATTAGGGCGTAGTAAAACAATGCTTGAAAATAGAATATGCTCGTGAGTGAGGATAACTGATCGAAGCCTATCAAGAGAAACTGCTTTCTCCACTTACAGCGAGATGTTAACCGCACAGCTTAGAACATCAGAACCAGTCCAAGCGATCGCTGTCACCACTTTTTCTAAATATCTTGTGGATGTCACCTGCTTGTAGGAGGTCCGTTTTCCGCAATTCAAGTTACCAAACCTTTGAGCAGAGCAGAGCAGAGCAGAGTACTGGCTGTATCATTGTGGTATTTCGGATAACTCAAGGCGAAATGGCATAGCGATTGTCATGTCTGAAAAAGCTCGGTCTACTCTAATTGTGTAGGAGGTGGCGAACGACCTATGCTCACTTCAAAGGAAAGCTTGTGCAATATTTCGGATATCAGCGTAATGTTTCCAACTTTCCATCTTTAAACGCAGATCACCTCGATAGGGATAAGTTGTGGAACTTCAACTTCTAATAACATTTTAACTGGAAAGCGACATGGTCTTAATCGGAGGAGACTGGGTTGTATGCGTAAGTCACGATGGTGCCACGATAAACTCGTTAATTGGCAAATATGACATCGAGCTCCTATGCTCCAATGTCCGGTACCAATGTCCATCTTCTTCGCTTTGCCAAATAGCATGAGCTCTTCATTATTAATATATGCCATCGAGAAAATATCTATCATCTGGAACTCTCTGGGTAACCAACATTCCAACCAGATTGTTTATATTTTAGTCAGTCGCCTTTGGAAGACTTTAGATAAATATATCTATATAAATATAGATATATCTATCTGAACGCTGAAATTAGTAGCGAGAGTATTGAAAAAATAAAACAGACAGGAGTTGAGAAGGATATTATATCATAGAATAATAGTAGAGTACCTCATGAGTGAGAGGAAGAAAAAAGAATCTTCCGTTTTAAGAAAATGGAAGATAAATGTATGAATTTTCACATCTTCCATCTTAATATATAAGCCTCCAAGAGACCATTTGGTAATTTTGGGTATATTTTGGGGAGAGGGAAAGTGGGAGTGAGAAAGAAAAAATGTGAGAAATGGATTAGGGATCTGAAAGGGTTGCATAGGATCGTTATCGCTGTCGTTCTTAGTGCATTAATATTAATATTTTATGATTTCTTCTGTCTTTATATTTCTATTTATATATTAAGTATATTAAATGGTTTAATTATTCACATTTGAGAGTCCAACCTTTCACAATGGGATATATATATATATATGGGTGAGTCGCCAGCATCACTCGGATTTTTTAACAGGTTTGCTCCTGCGAGAAATCGAACAGCAGCTTCGGCCGCTCCAAATTGAGCAACACTATATATATATATATATATATATGTACATGTATAAGGAGAATATGCAGAAATTTTATTAGTCAAAAAAATACCGCGTGGTATGAAGTGCTTCGATTCTATACGGTCATGGAGCGGATTTTCGATGAAGCTTTAAAGAAAATCGGAAACAACCGAAGGGAAGAAATAAAATGAAACTAATAGTAATACTATAAAATTCATGAATCTTTTTAAAATTCAAAAAAAAGAAAAAAACAAGATTTTAACAAAGCTTTCCACATCATAAGCAATGAACAATATGCAAATCGCACAAAATTGTTTTCTTCTTTCTTTGTTCACGCATCTATTAGCTACTTTGTAAAGCTATCTTATTTGCTTATCAAAAAAAAGAAAAGTGTGAGAAAATTTTCTTTTTAATAAAAATAAATTAATTTTTATGTAATTTTTGGTCTACTAATGTTTTGGAAGAACCATCCAGATTGGCAAAGTAGAACGGGTGTTGGATTGCAATATTAAGAATCGCCTTCGCCTTTCTTCATCACCCTTCTTTATTATTAACTATTCGCCTTGAATATATTCGCTTTTACTTTGAACCTATTAAATAACTATTTTTCATTTATTATAAACAATATTTTTTTAATAAAATTTTATTTCAATTCACGGGATTACATTCCTTTCAATTCGCAAGATTACATTTTCCCATTCAATCACATTCTTTTTCCGACACTGCTCCGGCTAAATTTTCTGTACAACATCTTTAACAAATGTATTCACTGGTAGGGAAGAAAGAAATATTACCAGATGACTGGAGCAAAAACATTCTTTTTCCAATTCTTAAAAAAAATGACAGGACGTACTGTGTGAATGTCGAGGAATTAGCCTTATAGATATCTCCGGAAAAGTTTTCGATTCTCTCTTGCTAAATAGACTCATGGCAGTAGAAGAGAGCAAGATATGCCCTAATTAAGCTGGATTCAGATACGATGACCAGATATTCATGCAGATACGCTGACCAGATATTCACGATATT